GGGGGGCGGGGGGGGGGGCGGGGAGGGGGTTTAGTGTCGGGTTTTGGGTTTAGGGGTTTGAGGGGTTGAGGGGATTCAGAAGTTTTAGGGGCTTAAGGGGTTTAGGGGCTTAGGCGGGGGGTGCTGGAGTGAATGTGGGGTTCAGGCTTTGGCTTAGAGCTTTACGAGCTGATGGGGCGAGAAGGGGGAGTGCTGGAGTGCATATATTTCAGGGTTTAGGGTTTAGAGTTTAGGGTTTAGGGTTCAGTCACGAGGAGCACGTCTGTCCGCTGCCTTTCGATGGACCAAGCCCCAACTTCTTTTCAGGCAAGGTGCCAAAGCCCCACTTTGTTTGCGATATCTTTGGGAAGATGATGCTTGGCTCATCTTGTTTACGGGCTTGCGATAGGGGTCGGAATAACTACTAGGCATTCCCTTATGGCCCCTACATACTTCTACCACCGTACCCCCCAAAGCCCTATTCTGACCATTAAGGCCTCCTACATTACTTGTTCTCTTAAACGCCGCCTTTGCAAAGGCTCGTTCGATCCCGGCTTTCCCGCAGCTAAGGCGTGTGTTCCAGTGGATCAGCTTTCTGGTGTTGGCCTCCCTCCGCCAAAGCGCGTCGGTACGCCCAGCACGCAGCATGGACGAAAAGGCCCATGAGATTCAGGCCGGGGGTTTAGGGTTTAGGGTTTGGGGTTTAGGGTTTGGGGTTTAGGGTTTGGGGTTTGGGGTTTAGGGTTTGGGGTTTGGGGTTGGTTTGCCGCACATGTACGGGCGTGCTAGGTGCGCTCAGAGAAGAGCTCTCTGAGAACAGACTTGAAGGCTTTACGAAGTATAGATCTAAGAATTATTCAACATACACCTTGGGCATAGCCCTTAAGGAAGAGGGGGTATGGCAAAATCCTTCCTTATATTCTTCTTGGGAGAACATTTTTTTTAGGTATTTTTTTTGTTTTTTTTTGGGTATTTTTTTGTTTTTCTTGTTCTTTACTTTGTCATTGTTTCTGCCTATGCTTTTCGCTTTCTGCCATTCGCTTCGCTTTTGTATTTGCTTGCGCTGTTGCTTTTGCTTTGCTTTTGCTTTTGCTTTTGCTTTTGCTTTTGCTTTTGCTTTTGCTTTTGCTTTTGCTTTTGCTTTTGCTTTTGCTTTTGCTGTATAGTATATATAGAACACACTTTGTATTTGCTTTTGCTTCGCCTTTGCTTTTGCTTTTGCTGTTGCCATTGCTTTTGCTTTTGCTTCTACTTTTGCTTTTGCTTTTCCTGTTGCTCTTTCTTTTGTGTTTGCTCTTGCTTTTGCTTCTGCTTTTGCCTTCGCCTGCTCTCTATTTGGTATACACAGAACATATAGAATAGATAGAATATAGAATATGTAGAATATATAGAGTATATATAATATACACGATATACTATCTATGCGAAATGTACTATATATAAGAGCAAACTATACATGCTGCATATACTATATGTACTATATAATAAAAAACAAATACCACAAATATACTATAATGGGTACTGTGTGTGTGTGTAGTATGGAAAAATGTGTTTTCTTTTGACAGTATGTATAGTATGGAGGATGCGTCTTTGACGGTGTAACATATATTAAGATACACCCTATGTGCCCTGCGCACCTGCTCGAAGTACTACTTGTAGCATTAGTATTAAGAAGCTTGCTACTACTACTACTACTACTACTACTACTACTACTACTACTACTACTACTACTACTACTACTACTACGACTACTACTACTACTACTACTACTACTACTTCTAATACTACTAGTACTTCTGGTACTACTAGTACGACTTGTACTATTAGTACTACTAGTACTACAAGTACTACTCGTACGGCAAGTACGACTAGTACGACTAGTACTTCTAGTATGACTAGTACCACTAGAATACTAGTACCACCAGTACTACTAGTACGTCTAGTACTAGTACTACTAGTACTCGTATTTCTACGACGACGACGACGACCACCACCACATGTGAGCAGGGTGTTTGCAAATGGGGGGGGGGGGGCTGCGCCCCTCCCCCAACCCACCCCGCTTCTTTTAAGTCGTACCAAGCTTGCTTCAAAGCCCAAGAAACTAGTTGAAAAACATCGTGAGCATTGTGTTTGCAAATGGGGGGGGCTGCGCCCCCCCCAACCCCCCCGCTTTTTTTAAGCCGTGCAGAGCGCGCTTCAAAGCCCAAGAAACTTGTTGACACCCATCATGTGAGCAGGGTGTTTGCAAATGGGGGGCGCAGACCCCCCAACCCCACCCGCTTCTTTTAAGCCGTTCAAAGCCCAAGAAACTAGTTGAAAAACATCGTGTGAGCATTGTGTTTGCAAATGGGGGGGGCTGCGCCCCCCCAACCCCCCCGCTTTTTTTCAGCCGAAGCCCAAGAAACTAGTTGAAACCCATCATGTGAGCAGGGTGTTTGCAGATGGGGGGCACAGCCCCCCCAACCCCCGCTTCTTTTAAGCCGTACCAAGCGTGCTTCAAAGCCCAAGAAACTAGTTGAAAAGCATCGTGTGAGCATTGTGTTTGCAAATGGGGGCAACCCCCCCGCTTTTTTTTTTTAAGCCGTGCAGAGCGCGCTTCAAAGCCCAAGAAACTTGTTGACACCCATCATGTGAGCAGGGTGTTTGCAAATGGGGGGGGGCTGCAGACCCCCCAACCCCCCCCCGCTTCTTTTAAGCCGTTCAAAGCCCAAGAAACTAGTTGAAAAACATCGTGTGAGCATTGTGTTTGCAAATGGGGGGGGCTGCGTCCCCCCCAGCCCCCCCGCTTTTTTTCAGCCGAAGCCCAAGAAACTAGTTGAAACCCATCATGTGAGCAGGGTGTTTGCAGATGGGGGGCACAGCCCCCCCAACCCCCTCCCGCTTTTTTTAAGCCGTACCAAGCGTGCTTCAAAGCCCAAAAAAATTGAAAAGCATCGTGTGAGCATTGTGTTTGCAAATGGGGGGGGGGGCTGCGCCCCCCCCAACCCCCCCGCTTTTTTTTAAAAGCCCCAACCCCCCCGCTTTTTTTTAAGCCGTGCAGAGCGCGCTTCAAAGCCCAAGAAACTTGTTGACACCCATCATGTGAGCAGGGTGTTTGCAAATGGGGGGGGGGGGCTGCGCCCCCCCCCAACCCCCCCCGCTTCTTTTAAGCCGTACCAAGCGTGCTTTCCCAAGGGCAGCCCAAGAAACTAGTTGAAAAACATCGTGTGAGCATTGCAAATGGGGGGGGGCTGCGCCCCCCCCAACCCCCCCGCTTTTTTTCAGCCAAAGCGCAAGAAAGTAGTTGAAACCCATCATGTGAGCAGGGTGTTTGCAAATGGGGGGCACAGCCCCCCCAACCCCCCCGCTTCTTTTAAGCTGTACCAAGCGTGCTTCAAAGCCCAAGAAACTAGTTGAAAAACATCGTGTGTGCATTGTGTTTGCAAATGGGGGGGGCTGCGCCCCCCCCACCCCCCCCCGCTTTTTTTTAGCCGTGCAGAGCGTGCTTCAAAGCCCAAGAAACTTGTTGACACCCATCATGTGAGCAGGGTGTTTGCAAATGGGGGGGGGCTGCGCCCCCCCCCAACCCACCCCGCTTCTTTTAAGTCGTACCAAGCTTGCTTCAAAGCCCAAGAAACTAGTTGAAAAGCATCGTGTGAGCATTGTGTTTGCAAATGGGGGGGGCCTGCGCCCCCCCCCCCCCCAACCCCCCCCGCTTCTTTTAAGCCGTACCAAGCGTGCTGCAAAGCCCAAGAAACGAAGGAAATGACAGGATATCTGTCCAAAATGTAAGGAAAATAGGGTTTTCCCCCTAGGAGAAACCAAGGAAAACCTAAGGGAAATTACAGGAAATCCGTCCAAAATGTAAAAAAAATAGGTTTTTCCGTATGAAAAACCAACGAAAACCTAAGGGAAATGACCGAAAATCCGTCCAAAATCTAAGGAAAGTAGGGTTTTTCCTAGAGAAAACCAAGAAAAACAAAAAAAATACCGAAAAAAAAACAAAAAAAATCCCTAAATTAATTCCGGACCCGTATTCTTCTTTCATAGGTTGAGGGGATAGGTCAAGGGGGTATGGGTTTGGGGTGTGCTGAGGCATTGTTAGAATAGAGCGCCACAAGACCTAGGGCCTAAGGGGTTCTTAGTAGCTCATGAGGGAATGAGGTACCGGGCAACTTGTCACTTCCTCTCGGTCAGAGAATGATTCCGGAATACTTCGCGTGAGGGCAACCCTAGCCCCTAAGCCTAAACCCTAAACCCTAAACGTCAAAATAGGGGGACAGAAGATACTCACTTCCCTCACTCCCTGCAAAAGAACCACTAGGAATAGGTCAGTGTGACGGTGGCATCCCCCGAAGAAAATTCCCAGTCAACATGTTTGCTACAGACGGGAGGCCCTCCGAATCAAAGCCTCAAAGCCGCTGAGCCCTGAGCCCTAAAGCCTGAGCCCTAAACCCTAAGCACTAATCCCAAAAATTCCTAAACCCTAAGCCCTAAAATCCGAAAACGCCCTAACCCCTAAACCCTAAGACCCTAAAACCCTAAATCCTGGAAGCATGTCCCAGGAGACCTCAGAACATAGAGTCCTGACCAACGCGACAAGTCAATATGGCTCCTTGGCGCTGTTTTTTAGGGTTTAGGGTTTAGGGTTTTGGGCTAGTTAGTTAGCATCTTGCGCCCATGGTTGCAAATTGCTTTATTGGGGATTGCTATGGGCGGTCTAGAACCAATCCTTCAGTTTGAACATTGTTTGAAACCGTAAGCCCTAAACCCTAAACCTCTCTCAAACCCTTAAGCAACAAAGCCCCAACGCCCTAAAGCCCCGAAGCCGCAAAGCTCCAAAGCCCCAATGCAGCAAAGCCCCAAAGCCCCGAAGCCCCAAAGCCCCAAAGCCCCAAAGCCCCAAAGCCCCAAAGCCCCAAAGCCCCAAAGCCCCAAAGCCCCAAAGCCCCAAAGTCCTGAACCCCTGAAACAGCTGTTGAAAAGTAGGGTAACCCTAAACCCTAAACCCTAAACCCTGAACCCTGAGCCCTAAACCCTAAACCCTAAGCCCTAAGTCCTAAACCCTAAACACTCTCTATCCTATGTATATTTAATTGCTAATGGCTTCCCGGTTTTTCCACTAAAAATTCCCGGTTTTCCACCAAAAACTCCCGGTTTTCCACAAAAAAATCCAGGTTTTCCACTAAAACTTCCCGGTTTTCCACTAAAAACTCACGGTTTTCCACAAATCCCGGTTTTCCACCACAAATTCCCGGTTTTCCACTAAAAATTCCCGGTTTTTCATCTAAAACTTCCCGGTTTTTCCACCAAAAATTCCCGATTTTTCCACTAAAAATTACCGGTTTTCCACCAAAAAGTACCGGTTTTCAACCAAAAATTCCAGGTTTTCCACAAAAACTTCCACAAAAAACTCTCGGTTTTCCACTAAAAATTCCCGGTTTTCCACTAAAAACTACCGGTTTTCCACAAATCCCGGTTTTCCACCAAAAATTCCCGGTTTTCCACTAAAAATTCCAGGTTTTTCCACTAAAACTTCCCGGTTTTTCCACCAAAAACTCCCGGTTTTTCCACCAAAAACTACCGGTTTTCCACAAAAAAACAACGGTTTTCCACCAAAAACTACCGGTTTTCCACAAAAAAACACCGGTTTTCCACCAAAAACTCCCGGTTTTCCACAAAAAACTCCCGGTTTTCCACCAAAAATTACAGTTTTTCCACAAACAAATCCCGGTTTTCCACAAAAAACTCCCGTTTTTCCACCAAAAAATCCCGGTTTTTCCACATAAACTTCCCGGTTTTTCCACTAAAACTTCCCGGTTTTTCCACCAAAAACTCCCGGTTTTTCCACTAAAAAACCCAGGTTTTCCACAAAAAATCCCGGTTTTTCCACCAAAACTTCCCGGTGTTTCCACTAAAAATTCAAGGTTTTCCACCAAATGAGATGCTGAACCCTAAACCCTAAACCCTAAACCCTAAACCCTAAACCCTATCTTGCAGGGGTCTAGGCCTTGGCAAAGGAGAGTGCGATCCCCGGAAGTCCATCGCGGCACAGATTCCGGCCGTGGCTTGCTCCTGTGCGCGTCCCATGAAGCCGGTGGACACTGGGTCAGGGTTTAGGGTTTAGGGTTTAGGGTTTAGGGTTTAGGGTTTAGGGTTTAGGGTTTAGGGTTTAGGGTTTAGGGTTTAGGGTTTAGGGTTTTTGGGTTTAGGGTTTAGGGTTTAGGGTTTAGGGTTTAGGGTTTAGGGTTTAGGGTTTAGGGTTTAGGGTTTAGGGTTTAGGGTTTAGGGTTTAGGGTTTAGGGCCATTGCAAGCAGAGTTTTCCTATGTAGGGCCTTGGGATATTTTCTGGATTTTCCTGATTTCTTTGGCTCTTGAGAGGTTCCTTTTTAAAGTTCTTGTGGTTCTGCAATGTTCAGTTGTCCATGTCGGGATGCTCCCGGTATACTAATAGTCCTTAATAGCTATTAGTATAAGGGGGAACATCCCAACGTACACGTTTTGAGAAGCGAAGTGCGACGGAAGGATTTGTCCTATGGCTGCTCGAGGGTGTGCGGAAAGAGGACGGCCGGGGAGCATGCCGGCAATGCCTTCATGAAAGGCCTGGCAGCCCAGGGGTACCCTTTGTACGTTTAGGGTTTAGGGTTTAGGGTTTAGGGTTTAGGGTTTAGGGTTTAGGGTTTAGGGTTTAGGGTTTAGGGTTTCTTCGGTTCTGGGTTCCCTTATAAAGTCACCAGCCCAAAAAAGACGGGTGCCCGTTATGATAGAGATGGTTGCTGGGCTACCAAGAAGGCGTGGCGGGCACCGCCACAACGCCAGAGATTGGCACCGGGATCATCAAGTCCCTGTTCTACTTGGGCCTGCATGCCACGGGAGTTCTGCCGGATTGGGACAAGCTGCAGGTGGGTACCTTCCCAAAGTAGGGTTCCCCCCCGGGTATACCCAAGCCCCAAGTAGAACGGAATCCCCTTAAAGGGACCCCCTAAACTTTAAACCCTAAACCCTAAACCCTAACCTTAAACCCTAAACCCTGAACCCTAAACCCTAAACCACCACTATTTCGTATAAACCACCAGGTCTGTGCAAGCACCTATGACTTCATCCACTCGAAGTGCCCTCATCGGAAGCAGAAGGGGTGTGTGTGGAGGGACCAGTTTGCCGCCACGAGCCATCGGTGCATCAACCTCTGGGAGAGCCATGGTCATAGTGGGGCAGCATTTTAGCAAGGAATAGCCATTTAAAACCCTAAACCCTAAGCCCTAAGCCTTAAGCCCTAAGCCCTAAACCCTAAACCCTAAACCCGAATGCTATCCCAGCCATGAACGAAGGAGCCTTGGTCGGAACAACGGGGAGTACGTCTGCCACGTGGTGGACTGGTGGGATGCCTGCTGCTCAGACCGAGAGCCCCTACCCCCTGAGGAGCTGGACTGCGCCTTTGTCATAGGGGGGGAGGGTTTAGGGTTTAGGGCTTAGGGTTTAGGGGTTTAGGGTTTAGGGGTTTAGGGGTTAGGGGTTTAGGGGTTTAGGGTTTAGGGTTTAGGGTTTAGGGTTTAGGGTTTAGGGTTTAGGGTTTAGGGTTTAGGGTTTAGGGTTTAGGGTTTAGGGTTTAGGGTTTAGGGTTCATGGTTCCTAAACTCAACAAGGAATAAAAGTTTACCACGTCTGAAGGGTTCTTAAACTCAGTAAGGAGTAGGAGCTTAGAATTTTTCCATCCTGTCCCGGCCATGAACCAGGTGCAGGCTGTGGCCAGGACATGTACTTCTGCCAGTGCAGCGCCATCGGCGACGGCCTCCGGCCCACGCACCTCTAGGTCCTTGCGGAGAGACCTGCTTGCCCTATGAGAGAAAAAGGGGGGGGTTCCCAGACCCTGAAGCCAGAGCCTGAGCCTTCAAGTGTATACCCTAAACCCTAAACCCTAAGCCCTAAACCCTCAACCCTAAGCCCTAAAGTCTAAACCCTCAACCCTAAGCCCTAAACCCTAAACCCTCAACCCTCAACCCTTAACCTTAAGCCCTAAACCCTAAACCCTGAACTAAACCCTGAACCCTGAACCCGAAACCCTACACCCTATATGAACCCTAAGCTGGCGGCTTCCTCCTCTTTGCAGCTGGAGGCTCAAGCGCTTTTTCTCAGGAAATGAGGGTTTCGGGACGTTCAGCCCCTTGACGTGTCATAAACCCCATACTCGGTTTAGGGTTTAGGGTTTACAATTCGGTTCCCTCCCGAGTCCCTGAAAGACCTACTTACGGGGAATAGATTAGTGTTTATATAGGGTTTATAGGGTTTACAGTGTTTATAAGGTTTATAGGGCTTATAGGGTTTCCAAGATTGAAAGGCTAGACACGGTGGAGGGCACGAAGGGTTCAGGGTGTTTGGTTTAGAACCTAGGCTGTAGCCGGGTTTCGGGTTCACGGCGAGGGTTTAGGGTTTAGGGTTTAGGGTTTAGGGTTTAGGGTTTAGGGTTTAGGGTTGGTGCAGGCAACCCAGTGGAAGGAAAGGAATTCGTAGCATGACCGCGCCATGCTGACCATACTGGATCTCTTGGGCGGCCGTGGGTGCCTTGCGCCCGAGGAGCAGGGTTTACTTGGCGGTTCCTCAACACGGATGAACTCCTCTGAACCCTTCGGAAACTTTGGCAAATCCTATCAGAGCCTCCTTTTGCAGGGAGGTAGTGTCTCTCATTTCTCTAACTCCTTAAGAACCGGCAATCCCTTGAAGCCTTGAAAGAAAGCCCCAAGCCCTGCCCGAATTCCCGGTTTCCCAAGTCTCTTAGACCCAAAATCTCTTAGACCCAGGCAGAGCTTGGGGTTCAGAGATCTGGGGTTTAGGGCTTAGGGTTGAGAGTGTAGAGGTGAAGCGAGGGGCTTCGAGGTTTCGGCGTTCTTGAAGTTTAGGGGTCCGAGGAGGCGCTTAGAGGCTTATGGGTTTTTGGGGCTGTGGAAGCTCCACTCTCCGGCTGCTCTCCTACACCTCATCCTTTCTTGAAGGTTCATGGGTAGATGTACGTAGGGTTCATAGTACCGGAATTTGAAGCGCCGCGCGTTGCCTAGGCTGTTGGGGTTGTGTTCCTTTCTTGGGGTACCTGAGCATGTCAGGTAAACCCTAAACCCTAAAGACTTCAGAGCCTTTAAGGCCACCTTTGCACCTTAACCCTAGACCCTTACAAGCCTTGTAAGAGAAACGCAACCCTTAGCCCCTAACAACCCTCAGGCCCAAACCCAAAGCCCTTTGCAGGTAAACTCCAAGAACCAGACTCTAAACCTCAAACCTAATCCCCAAACTCTAGCTTACTCAACCCTCAACCTTCAGTGAGAACCCTAAACCCTGAACCCTAAAGCCTAAATCCTAAAGCCCGAAAACCCTAGCCCTAAACCCTAAACCCCTGCAGCTCACAACCTGAAATGGCGAGAGGACATCTGCAACGTTGGGACCGTCTGCACTGAGTGGAGGACCTTTGCCATCTCCGAGGCAGGGCTGGATTAGGATTTAGGGTTCAGGGTTCAGGGTTCAGGGTTCAGGGTTTAGGGTTTAGGGTTTAGGGTTTAGTACGTAGTTTGGTGGGGGTTCGGAAGACAGCGCAGTTTGTGGAGGGCTAGGGCTGGTAGGGCGAAGCTTCCCGGGTAGGGCTGCAGACGCTGAACCCGAGACCCTGTGAGCCTGTAAGCCCTGCAGGCCCAAGCCCTACAAGCCACAGGAGCCGCCTAAGGTCGAAAAGCCTTCTAAGCCCTTGAAGCCCGATAAGCTCCAGAAGCCCTATAAGCCCCAGGAGCCTTGACCCCGGCCCATGAAAACCCCGGAGATGAAACTTTAGGGTTTAGGGTTTAGGGCTGAGGGTTTAGGGTTTAGGGTTTAGGGACACATGGGTAGTTCTCTAAGGGCCCCTCTCTGGGTCCAATGATGAAAGCGCGGCGCCCTTAGAAGAAGAACCCTCAAAAGAACCCGAATTTAGAGAACGACCCACATGGTCACTTCTCTCAAATGTGGTTCCTTTTGGGGTGTCCTTGGTGAGAAGGCGGCCCCCTCTTATTTAGGGCACCCCCAAAAAGGGACCCTGATGTCTCATGTAAGGTACCCCAAACAGGGACCCTAATGTCTTATTTAGGGTATCTCAAAGAGGAACCAGCCCTGAAAGATGGTTTAGGGTTTAGGGTTTAGGGTTTAGGGTTTAGAGTTTAGGGTCTTTGAAAAAAACCGTGATTTAGAGAACGGCCCCACATCTCCGGTCTGCTTCAGGGGGTTTGGCTCGTCCTGAGCCGCGCGATCCACCTGCGCCTCTTAGCCTGTCAGCTCGGGATCGTGGGGACAAGATGGGGTTTAGGGTTTAGGGTTTAGGGTTTGGGGTTTAGGGTTTAGGGTTTGGGGTTTAGGGTTTGGGGTTTAGGGTTTAGGGTTTAGGTTTTAGGGTTTAGGGTTTAGGGCTTCTAAGATGTTTTGGCCTGGAGGGCTTACAGAGCTTCAGAGAGGGCTTTGCAGGGCTTATTGGGTTTATGGGGGCCCATAGGGTTTAGGGTTTAGGGTTTTTGCGAGTTCAGGGTTGTACAGAGTTTAGGGTTGAGGTGGAGGTGGGGAACCATGGCGATCCTCCGGAAGATGGGGTTCAGACTCCACTCAAGCCCTTGTACCTGAGGCAGCCCCTAGACCCTGAGCCCTAAGCCCTAAGCCCTGAGCCCTAAACCCTAAACCCTAAACCCTAAACCCTAAACCCTAAACCCTTAACCCTAAACCCTAAACCCTAAACCCTAAACCCTAAACCCTAAGCCCTAAACCCTAGACCCCTAAAACTTTGAAGCCCTACTCTCCTCAGTCCCCAAAAACGAAGCAAAGCGTCCCGAACTCGAGAAATGGGTTTCGTCCAGGGTTTCTGGAAGTGGGGCCAATCAGGTGGGGTTCAGGGTTTGGGGTTTATGGTCTAGGGCTGGGTTTTAGGGTCGAGGGTTTGGGAGCCTTCGTCCTGTGTTGCTTAGCCTGCGCATCTCAAGAGATCTTTTTTCAAGGGCTGGGCCCTTGAAAAGGCCCTATGCACCTCCCAAAACCTTAAACCCTGAACCCTAAACCCTAAACCCTAAACCCAAAGCCCGAGTTTCGATTGTTTCCAGGGCCACTGCCGGCTGCGCTCGCAGAGGTCGAGAGCGAGGAAGGCAGGGGCGACGGGACGAGAGGGGGAGGATTTTGCCTTCTAGGGCTTAGGGGTTTAAGACTCAACCCTAAACCCTAGCCCTAAACCCTAAACCCTGAAGCCAAACCCTGAACCCCAAACCCCAACCAATTCCTGCGGCAAGCCTCCAAAATCTGCAACCTGCCGAGAAAGCCGAGCCCCCAAACCCCCAAACCCCCAAACTGCCAAACTCCCAAACCCCCCACCTTACAGTCTAGGCCCTTACCCTAAACCCAAATCCTAAACTCTAAGCCCGAAGCCCTAAACCCTAAACCCTAAACCCTAAAACCCCCAGCTCAACAACTGTCAGCCTCGAGATCGCCCCACCCAAGCGATCAACCTCATTTCCCAGCCTCCACAGCAAAAACCCCAAACCCCAAACCCCAAACCCTAAACCCTGAACCCTAAACCCTAAACCCCAAACCCCAAACCCCAAACCCTAAACCCTAAACCCTAAACCCGGAACCCTGAACCCTGAACACGGAACGCTTTTTTCTCGGCGGATCTCCAGGCTGGGCCAAAGAATCTCAAGCCGCGGCCTGAGTTGGGTTTCGGGTTTTGGTGTTTGTTTGGCTTGAAGCCTTGAGGTCGTTTAAGTTTTTTCCCTGAGGGTTTTTGAGGTTTGTTTGAGTTGGGTTCCAAAGCCAACATTATGGGTTATTTAGGCTTCACGTTTTAATGACGTTTGTTTGTTTGTTTTTTTTTTGCGATTGTTTGAGGTTTCGTTGAGGGTTTTGAGGCTTGTGCTTTTTTGAACCCCAACCCTAAACGCGCGCGAATCCCCTTATGTTCGGGACATGGGGGGTGCTCCGGTTTCGCGCTTCTCGCTGCCGAGATGACGGATGTCTCGACCTGAAGGGTTGCGCTGACGGGTGTTTTTAGGGTATAGGTGAAAGTTGAGGGTGTAGGGTTTAGGGTTATCCAGCAGTTGGGGTTTGTGTCCCCAACGTCGGCCACAATTTCGCGGGCATTCGAGATAAGTAGTTAATTGGCCCGGCCAAAGAAGACGAGGGTTTGGGGTGTAGGGTCTAGGGCTTGCGGTTTAGGAGACGCCTTGGGATTGAGGGCTTACCGTAGGGCTGAAGGTCCTGGGTTGCCCGCGGATCTTGATTTCCTATTTCCAAAGGTTTAGGGTTTAGGGTTTAGGGTTTAGGGTTTAGGGTTTAAGGTTTGAGGTAGGGTTACTGTGATTTTTGTTGCATGATGTAATTAGCTTCTAGTTGAGGAGATTCAATTGTCTCGACCATACTAAGGATACTGGATTGCGTTGCTCCTACACTCCCAGCTTTGTAACTTGCGTTAACTTCCTTAACTTCAATAGCCAGAGAATGTCAGGGCGGTCGGGTGGGAGACTAAGCTGTAAACTCTCTAAACCCTTAACTCCAAACTTCCTAAACCCCAAACCTTAAACTCTCTCAACCCTACGGCAAACCCTCTAAACTCTCTAAACCCTCTTACTCCTAAACTCTCTAAACCTAAATCCTACTAGGGTGGAGTTCCGATGGAGCCTTACGCGCGTTGGGCAACCGCAAGTCCCAAGCCCTGAGCCCCCCCAAGAAGCCGCTAAAGCCTGGGATGTTCCTTGTAGGGTTTAGGGTTAAGGGTTTAGGGTTTAGGGTTTAGGGTTTAGGATTTAGGATTTAGGTTTAGGGTTT